CAAGGAACTGCGCGACTCCTCGGTATTCGCGTTCTTCATGATCAACGCACTGTTCGTGCTGATCGTGTTCCTGCTGCAGCTGAACAAGGACAACATCCACGTGAAGTGGCCCTTCGGAGTGCGGACGAACATCACCTACGACGAGTCCACCCAGGAGGTAACTGCCAACTTGCCGGCCGAACTAACACAACTTTTGGTTTATTTCTTTCTTTGGCACCACGATCTGAAATGAAACGAAGGCCCGCATTGCCTCCGACCTGATTGAGCTGCGAAACAAGTCGGTGTTTGCGTTTTTCATGGCCAACGCCTTGTTCGTGCTGATTGTCTTCTTGTTGCAACTGAACAAGGACAAGTTACACATTATTTGGCCGTTGGGCGTCAAAACGAACATTACCTATATCGAAGAGACATCTGAGGTTTATAAAACAAGCTTTATACGATGTTAAATACCACAACTGTGCTGTCAGTGTTTTGTCTTACCCTAAAACCTCTGGAAGGGTCCTCTAACTTCCTGCCTGTCCTCTGTTTCACTCTAAATGTTTACTACCCGTTCAACATGTCACATCACCAATCAGCTAATGATGTTCTTTGTTCTCGGTTTTTCCGTTTATTGAGCCCCATCCTAACGGTTCAGGCTATATATCATACGAATACATCATGTAAAAACAACAGAACAACATATTGGCATTTAAGCGGTTCTAACAGTTAGCCCCCAAATGAAAACACGGTAAACTGTAATCAATATATCCCCTTCTGAATAATCACTGTTCTGTACACATGCCCAGAGTTATGACAAGCATGTTCATTGTTCCTCCGACATCAATACAATGTGTTCAAATAAATATATATAAACAACCCCGACATATAACCAACCTCCCAAATGGTATCACACCTCAACCTCAACATGCCACAATCACCAACAATTGGTATTAAGATCAGCCATTATCCAAACCCAAACCGTCAATCAACCAAATCGTTAAATGTCACTAACCCAAATCGGGATTCTCCAGGCCCTACGCTAACCACTTGTTTCATCCCATAGGTCCACATCTCCAAGGAGTATCTGCAGCTGGAACCGATTGGTCTGGTATTTGTGTTCTTCTTTGCCCTTATTTTGATAATTCAGTTTACGGCCATGTTGTTCCATCGATTCGGAACCATCTCGCATATCTTGGCCTCAACTGAACTGAACTTCTGCAAGAAGAAATCAGAGGATCTTACACAGGATCAACTAATAGACAAGGTTAGTCTGCTTGAACTAGAAAACATTCCTATGTATCAATACAGGAAATCTTTAAGTATAATAAGAGAAGCTTTACTAATTTGAAACCAAAGAAAAACTTACAAATTTTTTCTTAAAATTACTGATTTGTAAAAAAGCATAAGTAAGCAATTTTGGTTTGTAATGTAATCGATCAATATGTATAATTCTATCCCAACCAGCATGCAGTGGAGATCGTAAAGAACTTGCAGAGACTACAGGGTATCGATGGAGATTACGACAATGATTCCGGTTCCGGCCCAGATCGTATAGCTAGGCGAAAGACCATCCAAAATCTGGAGAAGGCGCGGCAGCCGCGTCGCCAAATCGGCACCCTGGATGTGGCATTTAAGAAGCGGTTCCTGAAACTCACTGCCGATGCGGAGAACAACCCTGCCACGCCCATTCTCACCCGCCGCCTCACAATGCGAGCCGAGACAATCAGGGCATTGGAGGTCCGCAAGAATTCGGTGATGGCCGAAAGGCGGAAGTCCGCCATGCAGACTCTGGGTGCGAAGAACGAGTACGGGATTACCACTGGAGCTCCGGTAAGAACTGAAAATAATCTAAAAGCATTTAAAACCACGGTAGCAAACTCTAAATCTGTTATATAGATTAACAACAATGGAGCTCTGCCTAATCAAAGAAGCGGACGCGTCTCAAATGCCGGCATCAGCATCAAGGATGTGTTCAATGTTAACGGAGGTGCTGCTGAGGTAGGACATCAATTTTAATGATTTTTAAATATTTAGCTTTTAAACACTATTCTTCTGAGAAAAATGCTTAGTTCATCTTTTATAAACGTTGAATATTTATGTTTTATGTGTCAAATTCAATAAACGTATTTAATCATAAATATGAAATAATAATATATGATACTATATCATAGAACCACAATGTTTTTAAAAATTTTAAATATACCGATAAAGTGAATGATCCTCAGTGGGAAATGTTCACACAATTTAATTAAAGTATTTTAAATCCAAACATGATGAATTTCCTTTCAACCCAACGTAGTCTATTTTCTGAAAGGGTAATGAGTATTAAGTATATTGCGTCCATATTTTTTTTAAGCCTTAGATGTTGGCTAAACAAAAAAAAATGTAAACAGAAAATTGCTTTTGATTTTTTCATAAACTAAATCTTTCTTCTTGTCCTGCAGCAAATTTACGGCTCGAATGGGGGCGGGACGATCAACCAGGGCTACGAGCACGTGATTGACGAGGACGGCGATGGCAACTCTCTGCGGCTGACCACCCGGAACCCTCACCCGCATCACCAGGTTTCCTGGAGCCAGAACACCAACGGCGGCAATGGTACAGGCCGCTTGTGAATCACCCGTACATCCTAGACATAGTGCTAAGCTAGACCTAGAAAACTTGTTAACGAATTCCGCCTCTTTCCATAAACTGCCTAAACGTAAGACTAAGCCAACACCTAGAGTTGTAGTCAGGAGAGATTGTGTTGTATAGTATATATAGGGACGCGAGAGAGATTCAGGACATAGGAGGATCCTGACGACACAACGAACATTATGCTTAGCTAATCACACTGCCAGTGCCGATGTGTGCGTGTGCGTGGGCTGAACGCCTATGGTGGCAACAACATTCATACAATGTACTATACTATCATTTGTTAGGTTATGTTTAAGTCAATTCCCGAGTGGATCCACCAGGACTCACGACCAGTGCATGCTGACACAAAATACTCAACGCAAAGCTGATTCGCAAGTGCAGCAGTAAGATGGCCTATTTATCTATTCGACATAACGAAGATAGTTATCTTTTAAATAAATAATTACTGATTTGATGGATTGTACTACTTTTAATACGAAATAGACAACTATCAAATGAAAAATTGCATTATTAATTAAATTGGTTAATATAAATTTGTTTAAAGTAATAACATTTTTCCCTGAAAGTTCCAGGTTTGTATCGAGCCTCTAGTTCCACCCTTATGTGTGTACGTTTATAACAATAGGTGTTTGTATTCGGCTTTGAGCCCTTGTTTAATATGAATAACTTTATTTGCGGGGAAGGAAGGAACATTACTAGACTTTGGTTGCGGGACAACATTGATAACCAACTATGATAGTTAATAGAATTAGACACCCAATATGGAAAACGATGTAGGTATGGTCGTATATGCTCGAGGTATCAGCGAGCTAGCTTAGTGGAAGAGCAGGTTGCCCTTCTTGGCGGCGATGGGAAGGCGATCGCCCTGGAGGAACGGATTCATGATCGCGGCATCCATACGCGGATCGGGCATTGCTGGATACCCTGCCTTCTTCACCAGGCTGTTGACATTGTTGAGGCTGTTCTCCTGGCCCATCTGAAGGATGTACTGCTCCACAGCGGAGTTCAAGTCACTCTTCTCAGATCCGGTATCCGCACTATCCTGATCTGAGCAGTCAAACATATGCTCGTTGTCGCATGTGCAGTCCTGAGCAGCCTGGAATTCCCGGCTGAAGATGGCCGTGTTCTCAAAATCCATAATGCAGCTGCCTCCTTGGGTCGCCATGTCGTAACCCTCAGGACACGGATTAGGGGGGTTACAGTAGGCTGGCAGTCCAGCATCGTTCTTCACAATGGTTGGATACCTATTGGGACCCTCTCCCATTCCTCCAGAGATGAATTGGTGACCCCACAGCGAGCTATGCTGCATGAACTCGTGGTCCCTTAACGAAGGATTGGAACCTGCTCCCGATGGCAGGATACAGTCGCTTCCGCCATCACACAACCTAGCGTACTCCGATCGGGAGACCAGGTCAACATTATCCTTGGGGCCAGCGGCTGCCTCGTTGTCTACGTCGTAATAGCCCACCTGCATATCATTGTCCATACGATTGAGCAGATCCGTCAGCAGGGCATCTGCCAAAATATCCTTAGAGCCATAGGACTCCACCTGATAGCCACTTGAAAGGACCAGCAGCACCCCAACCATGACGTGAGCAACTGTAAAAAAATGTTGTATCCATCTGAAACACATGTTACCATTACTTGGACGACTTACTCTGCGTACGGGAAAACATATTGCGCGTTTCTAAGCGATTTCAACCGTCCACGTAGAAGTTTGGTAAGATATTGATTTTTCGGCGGCAGCTGCTTCGATTCGGTGTGTATAACAATGTGACGTATGGTTCTCCGGTCCGATGTGGCGGCTACCAGTTGATTTCGTGGAATATTCTGAAATGCATTCCAAGCCCTCTATATAAAGCAGTCAAAGCTGATAAGATATGTCTGAAGAAGGGCGCATGCGCCGTATCTGAAAGCTCATTCGTGTTGGGACAGTCCTTTTGAGACCGTGAATTAGATTAGCGCCAATCTGCTGCGGTAAAGATTCTCCTCTTTGAAAATTCAAGAAAAATATTAAAGCCCTAAATCTAGAAAACCATTTGGAAACTACACATAATTCAAACTTAAGGAGTGCTAAAAAAAATTGGAAAGAAAAGCGTTTCAGATTAAGCACACTTACTTAATGCACATTAATACACTTCAAATGGCTCCTCATTTAGGTTAGTTTAAAGGTTGAGGATAAAAGTATTAAAGTGTTGAATAAATGCATTAAAAGTGCGAAAATCGACTTTGCAGCGCCGATAAAAGTTTATCTTTTTAAAAAGTTAAATATCCATTAAACTTCATTTATTTTTAAGGTTAAAAATATAAGATAGCTAAAATGAGTATATAAAATAGATAAATCAGATACATCTTATAATAAAGATAAAGAAACTATGTGATCCTTAATATCATAAATCAACTTAAAGAAAGAACATTTTGTTTATTTCATTTTCATTCATTCATTTCATTTTTTTATGTTCTGATCCAATGATTAATAATCTAATGTTTCTGATCTAATGTTAAACTAAAAGCGATGCACTAACGTAACACAAAAGCGGTTTCACTAATCGATAGAACGTGCATATCAGCTTTGTCTGATACCAAGAATGTACTGATAAAAACGAGTGATAATAACTTAGGAATATAATAACGTTTAACTGTCAAAGATATATTCAATTTCATCCTGCATATGTTGAGCCAATCGCTTGTGCGGTTTGGTTTTCGTATGTTCCAGCAGGTCCTTTCGAGCTATAAAATCCTTATTGCAGGGCTCACACCTAATCAAAAGATTAATGTTAATGAATTCATATTCAGATAAACAGCTATGAAAACTGAGGGGTTACCTGAACTTCCGGTTCTCCTCTAGGTGGGTCGAACAGTGGGCCTGCAAAGCTGAGACGCTGCTGAAAATCCTTCCGCATTCCAAGCATGGATAAGGTCGTTCGTTCTGATGGGCCCTGGAAACATTTTAAATTTCTCAGTAATGTTTACTTATTCTTAATAAGACTTTAATAGTTTGTTACTAGGGCTACAAAAACCAAATTCTGATACCGACAGATTTTGGAAATCAAACCAATCTTAAAAATATTAGAGACTTTAGAGATCACTGAATATTATTACTTGAACTCCTTACTTTTCGTGACGCAGCTTGGCTCCCAGAGACGAGAACACATCGTTACAGATGGAACATCGGAACTGGCGCTGGCCAGTGTGGACCTGGGCACGGTGCTGCTTCAAAAGAGCCTTCTTGGTGTAGGTTTTCGGGCACTCCGGGCATGGAAAGAACTGCTTCATCTCCCTGCGATCCTGGTGTCCGTCCAGGTGCTCATTGTAGACGTACTCGTCGTTGAACAGTTGCCCACACTCGTCGCAGATAAAGAAGTTTCTGCGACGTTTGGCGGCCCGTTCCAATTGCTGCTCCTGGATATCCGCCTGGTGCGCCGCTTCTGCGGCCGCCATCACCGATGCCTCGGGATCGTCATCCGGTGGAAATTCGTCCATATCTTCTCCATCCTCTACCATTTCCTCATAGACCAAGAACTGCTCGTCGTCCTGCGCTTCCAACTGATCCGCATCGATCAACTGCTCATCCAGCGGCTCGGGACCTTCATCTATGTAAACTATGCTCGGGTCCTGGCTTTTATTCCTGATGTCCAGCAGATACTTCTGCGAGAAGATGCAGCGCTCGCGGAACTTGGTGGCCAAGTCCAGCTCGGAAAAGCAGCGCTCGCAGATGAACTCCGGGAGACCCTGGTTCCTTGTCAGCTGATGGAAGCGAAATGGTAAACACATGCAAGTTCGTACACTACAAAGTTACCTCCACTCCAGTAATCATCTTCAGTTGCAACAGCAACTTTCCGCGCAAGTACTTAAATACGTTGCGCTCGCGCTTCCGGTCCTTGATTTGGTTGGCGCATACTCGGCAGACCTGAGCGATGTTCATTGTTTATTAAAAATATTTTGTTTACTTTCAGTAAAACGTTGTGGCAACTAGTGATAGAAGACGGCTTAGAGGTGGTATAAGGTTCTCACGCAGCTGGTGTAAATCGATATATATTTCAGGTACGCATCGATAATATTTCGTTTGTCTACCGATTTCTATTTGCCTATCGGCATATTTAGTTCACGCAAATTTGGTCGCTGTTGCAGAAACACTGTCTGAACAGGAAATATGCTGTCGAACCGCTTTACATAAAAACCAGACGAAATTCTTACAAGTGGGTGTATTAATTATAATATTGCTTGTTTTAGGCTGCTCATGAGTTTTTATAAAACAAGATAACAAGGGGAGAAACCACACAAATTTCTTGGGGTTTAAGACCAATTTTATATGTAATTTAAAGGTGTCTAAAAGTATGCAGTGAATAAATGATAGTCGTATTTCAGAGTGAATTCAATCTAATCTTAAGTTTCAAATATACATAATTTAAATAATTTTGGATATCTAAAATTAAATTTAAATGTTATTCTAAAATCCTAGGCACTCCCTGGTCAAATATTCAACATCGTTGAGTTTGTTAAATTGCTTTAATTTCGTACAATCGAATTATTATGGATTTGCTGACAAACAGCTGACCGAAATAAAAGTTTTCAGCTACTCAATCGTTTAGGGAATACCCTCTACATTTTTCGGGGGTGGACATTTTGCAAAAAACAAACTAATCGATCGTTATGCCATCTGTTATTTCTGCACATCTCAAATTGCGCGCATTTAATGTTTTTTGTGGTTTTACCAAACATTTGGAAGACATTTTTCGGGAGATCAGCAAAACACTTCATAAATTTAGATAAGTCTTCTATTTGTAACTTAGTTATTTAGCATGTCCAGCGAAGCGAGTCTGGCTTCCAAATGGACGCGACCTGATGATGTGGGTATGGACTCGGAGAAGCACCTGCCAGCATCTCAAATTGTTGTTTTACTTTCCAGTTCATAAAGCTGCAGCGGCTCAAGCAAAAGAAGAACAAATTGGCCGCACGTGTGAGCAACAATAACAATAAGCGACCGGGACTCCAGGTGGATGAGACTGATAAAAGCAAACTGCTGGAGGCCAAACTGGCCCAAAAGCGAAAGAACCCATTTGCCAAGTGAGTGACCCACTTTCACCCTGAAACCCAATTAGTAATTGGAAATTACCTACCCCCTTCACAGATCCAACGACGGTGCCAAGAAGCTGCGAATCGATCCCGAAGTGCCGGACCTTGAACCGGTGGTCACCGCCTCCTCCTGCTTTGTGCGGGAAACCCCCACGCGACCACCGCCCGCCAAGTTCGCCCTCCAAAAATATGATCCTCAAGCCTTCGCAAAGCTCTTCCAGCAGCCTCAAAACAACGCCGAGGACGAGGACGATGCGGAGTTGGCCGCTCGTCAGAAACACACTGGCCACCTGCCAGTGGACTGGTCCCTGAAGACACGAGCCCGCTTCTTTTGTCCCACGGAGCTGCCACCCATCCAGCTGAAGACCTCGCAGCTGGCCAGCGGACTCACCAGCTTCGTGCGCTGCATGGATCCGCAGCGGACGGAGAGCACGCTGGACATCTCGGACGCCACGCGTTTTAACCAGTGCACCTACTACTGGCAGCATCCCCATCTGCCCTGGCTGACCCTCTTTCCGCGCACTGCCAAGGAGAACGTCGGCGTGGTGGTGGGCGAACGGGAGCGAAAGGCTCTGGCTGAGGAGTGGGACTACAGCTTCCGGGGACTGTTCCAGTTGCTGCGGGCTCGCCAGTGCCCGTACTTCTACCTGTGTGCCAACACCTTTACAGTGCTCTTTCGGGCTGCCGGAGTGGGCGGTCGGGCGGAGAGCCACGCCCTGGTCACTCCATCGACGCGGGGAATGCGACAGGCTCTCCGGCAGGAAGGGATCGAGTTCAGCATGCCCCTGAAAAGTGAGGTCAACGGAAACGCACTGGACAACAGCTTCCCCGAGGAAAGTACTAGCAGCTCCTTGGGGCCAGAAAACGCTGATGAGGCACCCCCACCTGCCCAGGAAGATGAGGATGACGACGAGGACTGGTTGGAGAGTTTGGGCGTGGATGAGCGCGAGTTGCGACGCATTCAATCCTCGCACGCCAGGAAACAGCAGGCTGCCGAGATGCGAGAGGATTTCAGCGACAACTCTCTGCTCCTCATTGATGGTGTGGAGTGCCAGGGATTTTTTAGTTATCTTTTAAATGCCAAGAGTGCCATTAGCACAGTTGGCCGCCTCGCTGGAGTGCCCCCCACTCTGTTGTCGCCGGTGGCCTTTCCCAAGGCCACCATGCAGCATTTAGTTCCGCGGTCCAAGAAAGTCCGCCTAGACGGCGTCGACTACTTCAGCGTGGACATAAAGGGCCTGATCCTGCCCACATTCCTGCCAAGTGTGGCGGAGTTGCTATGCGAGACGCGCCAGATGTTCAGCTCCACCTTGGCCAGCAGCGTCAACACACTGGCTTTCAGCAAGGCCACCCAAAAGCTGCTCGAGAGCCCGGAGACGCCTCCGCCGGATGGAGAAGGAGAGGATGCCGCCGGGCAGGTCTTTGGCGAGCAGAATCTATCGGAGTGCGGCCTGCTGCCAGGAGTGGTGGGTTCCATTTGCCGCACTGGCCAACATGCTGTTGGCCTTCTGGAACGTATTTGCTACCAAAGAGGCGAAGGATATGCATGGAGTTAAAGAACGCGTTCTCCAAACTTATAAAATCACATTGAAGAGCAGCACGCTTTGTAGCATTATTCTTAATTTGTACATTTTGTTACGTGAAATAAAATATTGTTCTAGCTAATTGTGTATAGAGAATACGTGGTCTGATGGAAATAGTTTGCTACCAAAGCCTAAAAAGCACATAACTTTGAACTAATTGCAACCAAGTCGATAAAAACATGCTTTTCAGCTTGTCTTTCTCCAAGAATGCTATAGAAATGAAATTTGATATTTACTCCACAGGCCAAAGTAGTTTTTATAAAAGGATTCCAAGTAAGGACACCCACTAAACAGACTATAAAAGGGCAGGTAGAAATACCGTTTACAAATGATTTTGGGGAACTCAAAGTTAACTAATACTTCTACCACCTTGCGGAAAGTGGTTTATTACATGGTATCCCTGAACTTCATCGACTAGTTTCCCTGGAATTCAAATACCATTTGGATGTGCTTACTCAGCCTTAATCTTAGTCTGTATATTTCGTTATGCGTAATTAAGTTGTGTACTAGCTAGTTGTCCACCATGATCAGTTCGTCGATGCTCCAGTCCTCGTAGGAGTGATCTGGCAGGTATCGACGGATGATGATGGGGATCTTCTTCTGCTTGAGCTCCTTCATGGCGATCTGGAGGGGATCTGTTTCCCCGTCCAGTTCGACCATGATGGGTGCGCACATGGCGATCTGGAGGGCTCGAGTGCCCAGAACTCTGGCGCGCTCGTACTTGGTCATGTACTTGGTGGTGATTCGCTTGGACTTGGGGACACCTCCACCCCCCGCTCCGGCGGAGGCTATGATCTCGATGTTGTCCGCCTCCTCCTCCTGGTTGATGTCCTCGTCCACGTCCTCGTCAACATCATCGAAGTCGTCGCCGCCAACGCTGGAATAGTTACAAATATCCGGTTAGAGGAATGGTATACTGGACTATTAGGCCTTTACTAACTCGTCGTTATCGTAGTCTGCATCATCCATGGTTGATTTCTTTTATTAATAAGAAATAAAATAATAAAAATTCGGCGTGTTTTGCACGCGTCCGACTTCTAGGGATGTGAAAAATACATCAACATATCAATATATCGATATTTTTGAATAAAAATAAATATTTATATCGTGATATTTTTGGTCTTTTTTCAAATCACTAATGTACCGAAATCTTTTTATTGTGATTTTAAGAGACATTTAAAAAAAAAAAAGATATATCATCGATACGACATTGTTTATATATATTTCCACAAACCTATCTTCTTCCATTCGACGGCAGGGCGATTTTCGGTACTGTAATACAGTGTTGAGCAACACCAGTGCCTCTAAAACTTGCATGGCTATACAATTGCGGTTATCAATTGATGAGGTTATCAAACTGTGCCAGTTCCGTGCTTATTTGAAATGGTGTTATTTTTAAATCCCTTACGATGCTGCCACGTTTTAATAAGCAAAGTCAAAGGTTTTAGCTACGTGAAACTCAATTCCTCTTTACTCTTTACGGGTTGCATATTATCAAAAGGCCTTAAGTCATTTCAGTTTGTAGGGTTGTGCAAGCAAGAAGTCCACAATTTATCAACTAAATGATAAATATGATTATTTTAAATTCGTTAATATTTTCTACTGCATGCATTATAAATCAATAAAAGCTAAGTTTTTTTGATGAATTTCTGGTGAATTGTTAATGAATGGGACTGCAGGGTTTGATTAGTAAGTTAGTTCGACCACAATCAGGACTAGTTAAGTGATCTCGAAATATAGGGGTTTTTTGTGCATAGTATCTTAAAGTGTTGACTTGGCAGGATTTTCATTATATAAAACAATTGAGGCAACTACGGGTGTTGGAACAATTTATTATTATAACAAATTTATAATGCTTCTTAACTGAAACAGTTTTTTAAAACCGTTGTCTTGTTCAGATCCAGTCATTAAGAGTTTCTGGTTATTTGATTTAAATTTTGAAGCATATGTATGCTTTAGCATATATTAAACGTTGCATTTTGAATTTAGCCGCAACCCATCACCTATACGGACACTTGACGTACTCGGTTTCCGCATTTTCTAAGAAACAAACTGGGAATCAAGTCAAGTGAATTAAAATTAATCGAAAAAAGCAAACCATAAGAACCCGGATGGGCTCTGGGCGCGTATTATACTGTCCAATTGATCTTGATCAGAACTATCAGTGTGCGTTAGTCAGTCTGGACACTTATAATTCGATTCCAAACGTTGACGTAGGAAATAATTTATTTCATATTGGTAAACATACGATAAAAATCCCTGTAGGTTCCTATGAAATCAGCGATATTAATTACCTATTGACGCGAAAGTATACAAAGAACACAGAATGAGCCCAACGGAAGTCCCAAATTTTATCTAGTTCCAAACTATAACACTTTGCAATTTTCAATTTCAATAAGGAAAAGTCAATTGGCTCTTTGTTGGGATTCACTTCGAATATATTAAGCCCTAATATATTACATACTTCTGACAAGGCAATTGATATCACAAAAATTAATACCATTTGTGTACAATGCAATATTATAAATGGAACATACATGTATGTATATCAGTATCACTCCAGACCTTATTGAGTAAAGATCTAAAATCACCAACAACTAGTGCTTATCAGCAAAACTTGCAACAACAAACAGGTAAACAAAAGAGACACCCAAAAAATCAAAAAAAAAAATACAACAACAAATAGTCACGTGATCACAACAACCACAAGCAGGGGGTTCGCCCCACGAAAGCAAAATGTTACCACCAGCCAAAAACAGACTTTTTTCTAAAAACTCAATAATATAACATAAATTTATTGTTATAAAAAGAAAAGACAATTTATCCCTGGAAAACACAAATCCATTTATTATAAAGAAATCAATCGACTACGTTTGCGGAGGAGAAGTCGAAAAATGTAAAGTAACAAGAGCAGGTACAATTCTGGTTCAAACAAAAAACAGAAGTTACTCAAAATTAAAAAAAATGGTGAAGTAGACGTAGAAGCATACGAACACAAGAACCTTAACGATACCAAAGGAGTTATTTATTGTAACTTGCTTAGGAATGTCTCAAAAGAATAAATTCTAGCCGAACTGAAGTCCCAAAAAGTTTCTGAGGTCTACAAATGGACCAAACTAGTCGACCAAAACCGAGTCCCAACTGGACTTATAACGCTAACTTTCAATTCTACCAATCTCCCTGAAAAGGTGTTTATTGGCTATGAAATAGTATTCACACGCCCATACGTACCACGCCCTATGCAATGCAAAAAATGCCTTTGCTTTAACCACCCCCAACCTGGCTGCATGCAAGAAAACCCTTAATGCAAAAACTGCTCTGAAACCACTCACAGCAACGACAACAACGAATGCAAACAGCAACCAAAGTGCATTAACTGCAAGGGCAACCACACATCCATGGACAGAAAATGCCCAATATTTCTCAAGGAACAGGAACTTATAGCCATCAGAATCACCGAAAAAGTGACCACAAAACTGCCCGCTCCATTTACTTTACACGTCACAATCCTATCCAAGAAACGTCTTACTCCCAAACCCTAATAAATTCACCACCAACAGAAAACCCCACCAGACCAATTGAAACACAAATACATAATAAAAAAGAAACCCATAAGAATCCAACCACACTAGACCACTTTCTCAAAGAGGTAGACAAGAAATATGAAGAGATTTCTAAGATAGTACGAACCCCCGCAGTCTACGACTCATTCGATGAAGAAATGCGCTCACTTACCAATGACGACTCTCAAAAACCCTCGACATCAACAAACGACCGCGTACTCAGAAGCCAAAGTAAAGAAAAATCCATCCTATCTAAAAACCTGAAAGCAAAAAAACAAAGATCAAACCTTTCCAGCACGAACGTCATAAAACAAACAAAAAAACTTCAATAAACTATGTCCTTAAAAATATTACAATGAAATATAAAGGGATATTTTAACAACTACAACCAACTACTAATACTCATCAAGACACACTCTCCACATATTATCTCACTGCAAGAAAGACACATACAATATTTTCACAGTCTACCGACACCAATAAACTACAATATACTAACAAACATTGCATCTAACAGATTTGGAGGAGTAGCCCTGCTAATCCACAAATCAATCAACACACTCAAAGTAACATCAATGAAGACGTAGAAGCAATCGCAGCAGAAATAAAATCAAAAGAAAACTTCAAAATATACTCCATTTATATTTCACCCAACAAATCCTTTTCGCGCAATAACCTGAACAACGTAATTAACATCAATAACGAAACTGTCACGATAACAGGAGACTTTAACAGCTGGCACCAAAACTGGGGATCCACACACTCGAACGCAAAAACAAAAACCAAATCGCTAACCTACTCGCACAACACTGGTACCATCTCTCAAAAGACGCAAACTTCAGCCAAGAATTCACCTCCCATAAATACAACACAGTAACCCTCAATCACATCCCAACCACATCTTGTTTAAAAATTGACAAACCCATAACCAATATCGAATTAATTATTGCTCTCCAATCACCTAAAGGTATAACACCAGGAATCAGTAGAATCTCATACCCCATGATTAAACACAGTTCACCATCAATAAAAAATAGAATACTTTCTCACTTCAACCACATCTTCAACCACTACATACCTCAATCATACAAAACCAGTCTGATCATACCAATTCTGAAACCTCAAAAGAACAAAACCGACATCTCATCATACCGACCCATATCACTTAACTGCTGCCTGAGTAAAACAATGGACCAAAAAATAGCGAACAGACTATGGTGGCTCCTTAACAATGACAAACTTCTACACCCACACCAATTTGATTTTAAGAAAGGTAAATCGACTTCAGATAATCTGCTCTATGCAGATCACATCATCACGAAGTCGCTCAATACTAGGAAACATATCTCACTCATCTCTCTTGACTTTGCAAGAGCTTTCGATCGAGTAGGTACCCACTCAATAATTGACCAACTGATAAAATGGAAATGTGGCCACAAAATAATTAATTATATTATAAACTTCACCAAAAGCAGAAGAATAATAGTCCGAATAGGCACACACTACTCAAATGTACACCCTTTAGAAAACGGAATCCCGCAAGGATCCCCCATATCAGTGGTACTCTTTCTAATAGCCTTCAACAAACTAGCCAACATCCTGGCAAGATATAAACAGATAAAACTTAGCACATATGCAGACGATTTCCTTTTGCTGGTAAATCTAAAAAACAAGAAAAACATTACCGTCAACCTAAACCACCTTTTTAGGAAAATAGAAGACTGGGGAAGCTATTCAGGCGCATCCCTGTCACAAACTAAATGTGAAGATCTACACATATGTAAAAAACACAGATGCAACTGCATAATTGCAACACAGAATTCTAGTATAAAAAACGTAGCATCACTCAAAATACTCGGACTAACTATAAACAAGAAATACAACTGGAACTCACATATTGACACTCTCATACCATCACTCTCCAACAAACTTAACATCGTAAAATGCTTGGCCAGCCCCAAGATTAACTGCAACACAAACACTCTACTAAACATCACAAAAGCCATACTTATATCTAAAATTAACTATGCACTTCACACATATGGGTACGCCCCAAAAAATATACTAAACAAATGAAAAACCACACTAAACGCCGCTCTTAGAGCAGTCCTAGGTGCGTTTCGCACAACACCAACTTTTAGTTTACTCTACGAATCCAGCATTCCAACCATCGAGCCACATTACAACCAAACTCTTCAAAAACCTCATTCGCTCTAAAGATACACCAATACACAAATTTATCAAACCAATAACCAGAAGATAAAAATGGACCTCAACACTAGAACGAGCTATAGGAAATTGTCAACTTCTTAACATACCCTTTCAATTAACAAAACTATACAAAACAAAACCGCCATGGCAACTACAAAAAAATATAATCAACACCTCGCTGCACAACCACAAAAAAAACAAGGAAGAACGCTATAGTCGAGTACCTCGACTATCAGATACCCGTTACTCAGCTAAAGGGACCAAAGGGAAATAGAGATATGCAAGCAGCAAAGCGAGATTAAAATGCGCCACCTACCGGCGGAAGACAGATTTAAGCGTTATGGGCGTTAGAGTGAGTCGTTAGGTATTGACGAGACCAATACATTTCAGTTAAAATTTTTTATCTAGCATGAAAATTGTGGGCGTCACAGGTTTTCGCGGTTCGTGGGCGTTAAAATGGGCGTGGCACTCTGCTGAAACAAACTGCGTTAGAAGCTCAGGAATCTGCACGCCAAATCTCAATAGCCTAGCTCCCATAGTTTCCGAGATCTCAGCGTTCATCCGGAGCGACAGACGGACAGACGGACATGGCTAGATCGACTCGGTTAGTGATCCTGATCAAGAATATATATACTTTATGGGGGGAAACGCTTCCTTCTGCCTGTTACATACTTTCCGACGAATCTAGTATACCCTTTTACTCTACGAGTAACGGGTATAAAAATGATTATATACAACAACAACGTCTATAAAAAGGCGTTATCATTTAATTCTCCCTCACTCGCCTTACCAACGTTGTACAGATTAGCTACTCGACAACAACAACAACGACGACGGCGACCACAACAAAAACAAGAACAACAACAAATCCCATTAACGGAGTGCAATAAAAATTGTTTATTGAGTTTAGGATTCAAATTAAAAAATGTCTCATATAATTAACGTGCTCGAGAAACCGACTATTGATAATTCAATAATAAAGATAGATTACCATAGTTATTCACCCTATTTGCGGTCGTATGTTCGGCGTTCTGTATCGGGATCGGCGTGTTGAACGGCAGACTTTAACACTCTTTATTGGGGGTAGAGAGATGGCGCCAAGCTCGTTCAACTGATCTTCAAAGTTAGACATGCTGCTGATGATGATGATGACGGATTTTTCAAATAGTGCGAGTGACTTCTTGCTCTGAATTTGACTTATGGTTTCTGAATTACTCTAGTACTCTACATCTCTTATTTATACTAGTTTGCGAGACGAAAAAGTCTGAGAAAGATTGCGATAAATACTTCTTTCCAACACAAAATTAGAGTTTTGCGGTAACAATTTCCGTTCAACAAAAAAAAACAAATAAAATAAATATTTAAATATAATAAATACTTGTGATAAGTGAGTTAATGTGTGTGTGAATTATGTTTCACGATAACAATATATATATAACCATCAAACGAGAGTGGGAGGACAAGTGGGAGGGGAAGTGGGGAGGGGGGAGTGGGCGCGATCGCAGAGCAGAGTATTCCACAACATTCCAGAACACTCCAGTACATTCCAGAACATTCCAGGGCAGCAGCAGCAGCTACGACTTCCATCCTACTTTCTCCCTTGTTTTTGGTGTATAAGCAAAATTAAAGGTTTTATTGATAGTGAGCTACGTGAAACTCAGTTCCCCTTTGTCCCCTTTCCAGTTAGCGTTGTGTCAGCGAAAAGTCCACAATTTATCAACTAAACGATGAATTATTTTTTGATGAGCACCTAGGACGTCACTATTTTAAATTCGTTCATATTTTCTACTTAAATGCATGCATTACTTATCAACAAAAACGACGTTTTTTTGCAGGGTTTGATCTGTAAGTTCGTTTGTACACAATCAGGACTAGTTAACTGATCTTAAAATAAAGGTTTTTTTTTTAATAGTATCTTAAAGTGTTGACTTGGCAGGATTTCCATTATATAAAATGATTGAGGCAACTACGGGTTTTGGAACAATTTATGATTATAACAGATTTATATTGCTTCTTAACTGGTACAGTTTTTTCAAACCGTTGCCTTTTTAAAGTAATCTTTAAAAATACGAATTCAAGTAAAATCCAGTCATTAAGAGTTTCTGGTTATTTGATTTAAATTTTGAAGCATATGTATAAAACGTTGCAATTTGAATTTAGCCGCAACCCATCATCTATAAGGACACTTGACGTACTCGACTTCCGCATTTTCTATGAAATAAACAGGGATTCACATCAAATGATCTAAGATTAATGGAAAAGTACAAACCATAAGATCCCGGATGGGCTCTGGGCGCGTGTTGTCGTTGCCCATATGGGGGAGGTGACCGAGTTCTGGGTGCGTATGTTGGTGGAGGGGGTGCATATTCTGGTGGAGGAGGTTCATATGCGGGGGGAGGACGCGATCGAGGAGGTGGATATCTAGAAGGCCCCTGTGGATGTGGATATCTGGAAGGCCCCTGAGCATGATGATATCCGGGAGAACCGCGAGGAGGTGGATACCCGGAATGAACCTTAGAAGGCGGATGGGTTCTTTCGCGAGGTGAATATTCTGGTTCGTAGTCGTAGTCCACGCATGTCCGAATGGAAACATTTCTTCTTCTACCAGGACCCAGGTGGGTGGCATCCCTATCAAATCGGTTCAAATCAAAGGTGCCCAGAGCATCCACTTCCTGGAGACGGGCATCATTCCGTGGGGGATACGGATAGTACGGATCGTGGGGGTCTTGGCTGACTTCATTTATCGCTCGGGCAGCGGGCTGGAAGGACCTCACCGAGTCGCTGTATGGGATCTCAGCTTGTGGCTCTGGCTCGACGGGAACGGGCTCTTCGGGAGCAATAGCCACTGTCCTGCGAGTGTCTGTTTTGCGGTCATCGCAGTTGCATCTGGCGCCCAAAGGATGAAGGGATATTGGCTTCGTCCTGAGAAGCTCAGGCATGGGGTAGGCATCCGGATGACAAGCTTTGATCCTCCGCGCCCCCTGTCCACCATTTCCGTTTCCGGGACAGTTGTTGAAGCATCTCTGGGGCTTGTTTCCGGCGGTGCAGCAAGCCCTTGGCCTCACTGTTTCCGGTGGTGAGGCACAGCAGCACCTCTGACGGGGTTTGCAGGCTGGAGTAGCAGCCGGAGGCGGAGTAGGTGTAGGAGCTGGAGTAGGAGTAGGGGAAGGCGGAGAGGGACAACAGCAGCTGGTCGTCGTCGTGGGAGGAGGACAACAGCACTGGGTTCCCGGATCTAGGGCCCTATTCGGAGGCCTTTGCGAGCGAATGAGAAAGCAGTGGCGACTACGACTCCGGTCCGGATTCCTGTGGCTACCATGGAAGACCCTCTCCTCGTCGTAGTCCTGCGATGGCCTATGACCCACTTGACTGGTGGTCGGAGTGTTCCCTGTCCGAAGGAAAGTCATGAATGGATGAAGCTGCACAAAATACTACGGGTTCTACTTGCCCATTGGGGTCACATTGGTTTTATTGAACCGATAAGCAACGTAAAACTGGAAATTTAGCTAAACCAAAAATTTTGTGGAACTGTCGTGATGTGAGTGTTTGGGATCTGTGTAGCCTGCTCGGTAGCGCCTGCTGGGATCTATCGTCTCTCCTCACTGGATGAGGCACTTCTTCTGCTTCTTCTGCGACCGGCAGTGTCCGCAGGAGTTCTGGCTCTGGTGGTGATGGTTGCGATAGGGCTGCGGGCCCCTGGGCAGGCTCTGTCCGCAGGTCACGTTGGCATGGGTGGGCTGGGCCATCGCCTGCTGCTGCTGGTTGGGGGGCGGGGCCACCGGCGGGGCGCAGTAGCACTCCACCTTGGCCGGCTTCTCGTGGCAGGTGCAGCGGGTCTCCATGACGGGCGGTTGCTCCCGGGGACCCCGGCTGCAGGTGATGTGGTCCGCCTGGACGGCGGGAGGGGTGTTGCGGTTCCGGTTCTGTGTGCAGGTGCACTCCACGGTCGGAGGTCCCCGGTTCTGGTACACGCTGCATGGAGCGGGGTCACCAGGCGGCTGGTACGAGGTCACCTGACAATTACCAGCTACGGGTGCTGCTCCTGCCCCTTGTCCCTGGCAACCACCTGGCCCTGCTCCTGCCCCCTGTGCCTGGCAGCCACCTGCTCCTGTCCCATATCCCTGGGGCCCTGGGTACGGACAGCTTTCCGGCATCTGCTGCTGCTGCTGCGGCTGGTGGGCGTACGAGGGCGGCGGGCGGTGGGGCGGCTGCTGAGGGGGCGGGGCTCCACCGCTGGTGCCGCAGGGACAGTTGTTGCACTTGCCACACGGAGACGCTGCCGGCGGAAAGGTTAGTGATCTGTGGCCGGCGGTCAACTGCCCATTCGATACTCACACATTTTCCAAAAAAAAGAGGTTTAGTTTCGATTCTCCCCACAGGCTGTGCTACAGGCAGCTAAAGCAAAATGACAACTCCGGACGGGGATCTCTAATCGGGTTTTCTGGCTGTAATGCTACCTCGTGATTGGCTCGCCTATTCATCTACTGCATTATGCACGACTTTCTCGAAAGATTTGAATATGTAATGATCATCAATTATAATATTAATTATAATATTTTAATTATATAATATATTATAATATAGATTTTATAATTCCTAATACCTTCCAAACTGGTTAGGCGTACAGACCCTGCAAGTGAGAAATGTTCTATAGTTGATCGAATCAGATTAACTGAATTGTGATGTATGCCCATGTCAGTTGCGACCGACAAACGTTATGAGCAAGTTGATTCTGTTGACTTGGCTGTTTTGCTATATCTTAAACACAATTTCTGGAGCAGAACTACGTGCGTGGGGTCTTTGGCCTCGGATATATGTGCGATTTTTAAAACTCTTAACTTGCAGCTGGAGATGTGCAAAAATGCTCATTTGGAAACTCCACATGCCTGGTTCGGTCCATCAATACACTGATCAAGCTTTATCCAAAGGGCATTCCTGCGATCGGTCTGCCCCCGTTGGACTCCTACCACTTCCCGGACACCATCGTTCTGGACTCACCGAATCGGCCCATCTATCTGAACTTTAACATGCGAGACAACGTAAACAAGGGTTTCGAGAACACGACGGTTACCCATGTGGAGGGCTTCCTGCGGGAGCCCAACCAGAAGCAGATCCTGATAAAGGCCCATCTTCCGCGCCTTCTGCACTTGGCCACCTATGACTTGGAAGGCCGGTGGCTGTTCTGCCACAAAACCTCCGGCACTCTGCAGTCCGACTTCCAGGACTTCCGGGTCACTTTGACCCTGAAGGTGATATTGGAGTACAGAAACAACAAGAGGTATCTGAAGGTGTACGATCTGGAGCCCAGCATCAACTTGGGTCGGTAAGTCACCGACCTATTTATTCTATAGCTCTCATAGGAACAATCGTATACAAATTGAAAAATAAAGCTGTTTCTGAAGAATGGTGGAGCAATAAGATAGTTAAACACACTCAGAAAACAAACGAAGCCCATTGGGCTTGATTCAAGCCCAAATGTGTTTGAAAATGCCACAGATGCGAAATAGGCTTAAATTTTCATTTCAAAAACGTTTCATTCCTATGATATATTCTTGAACTAAGAATTTATTATGCTTAAATTCAGTATGATTTCTTCTTAAACAAAGTCAGAATTATAAAAATTAAATTTAGAATTTTACAACATACTTACATTTTCTTAAAAACAAGGTTTTATTAACTTATTTGTAAAAATATGATCAGATATATTCATTATTCCAATTCAAGTTGTTCACAAATGAAATATGAAATATTCTTTTACCATTTTAAAGTCGTTGTGTTGTTTTATTAGTTAACAGATTTATAATAAATATTTTTTGTTTGCTCAGCTGGATCATTTGGTTCGATGACCTGTTCAAGGAAAACTTCGATTTGACGGTTGCGATGAACGCGGTTTTCAACAGGCACTGGGTGGAATTCTGGAATGAGCTGCATCCGGGTCTAAAAAAGTCCTTCTCAAACGGCTTTACAACCATCTTGAACAGAGTATTTGAGAACGTCGCCTATGACGACATGTTTTTGCCCGATCGTTGATTGGGTTTTTTTTAGCTACGTACTGTGCAAGCTTATAGAGTTACGTACAAATTTGGAATCAATTGGAGTGGAATCGATTTTGCGAATTAAGTGTAGCAGAGAGCAATTGTAAATGAGTGCGTTCAGTACTTATGACCCACAATTATCAAACTGTTGTTACAAAAGTTTAAAATAAAATAAATGTAATTGGTATGCTAGCACTTTAAAAGTTATGTAGCTTTGATTTTAGGTATTTCGTGGCCTAGAATTTAAGGTTTTAATTACTTTAATATTGATTTAAGGAAAATTGTCGCTTACCTTGCCTTGTACGGCCATTTATTTGTATACATTTTACATTTCCCGTACATATAAATATAACCCGTTACGTTAAAAGGGTAAATTAGATTCGTCGAAAGCATGTAACAGGTAAAATGAAGCGTTTCTGACCCTATAAAGTATATATATTCTCGATCAGGAATACTAGCCGAGTCGAACTTTCCATTCCGTCATTCTGTGTGCCCGTTCGTATAAACGCAGAGATCTCATACTTGTTTCAACAAAGTGCCACACCCACTATAACTCTCACAACCCACTCGAAACTGTTGCATTTTCATAGAGAATTGCATAGAGAAATTCCAGCGGCAGAAGTATCTGTTGCACTAAATAAGGTTATCCTTGCTACACTCTTCAATACATTTTTTTAGGTCTCAATGAAGCTACAAATGTATATCAGACAGTTTTTTAATTCCTGATAGTTGCTTTCGCAAGGCTGCAGCACACAATGAGTTCCTCATTAACCCTCTACTGCATGAGCATAGAATATTTAGGCCAAAATAATATATATTTGGACTTTATTTTTGGGGGGGGAGGGGGGGGGCATAGTTTGGGGTGGGGGAAATGGGGCCATATATGGCTTTGTATGCATTCAGCTGATTCCAGAGTTTGCCATATATGACTCTGTATGCAAGTTATCCAACCCGCAAAACGGTTCCACTTATGGAATTTATAAACAAATTTTTGAATTCAATCTCAGCTGTGTTACCCTTGCCTTCAGCGACATTGCCTTTGCCTTTGTTTAAGATTTTGCCTTTGCCATCTACTTCGAGGGCCGCGCTTGACCGTCCTGCTAAGATAAATAAATCAATCGTAAAGTAAACACAAGCTTCCGTTCGAAGCCCAAACTTTTCCGTTCAAAGCCCAAAGTATTGCATTCTAAGTTCAGAACATATTGCGTTCCGATTTTCAATCAAATTGCATCGGTCAGCATAATTTCATTTCACAACGAGATGCGACAGTTTCAGCATAAGCTTTTATTTTAAACAAAAATTAAAGTTCTGGAAGCTTAAGAAAAGGAAAGCTTCTGGCTGAGGTTCATTGGATAATTTTTTAGAATTAAGAGTCAGTCCTATTTTATCCGAGACCGCGAACGGTTCACAATTTTTAAAAAGTGTCTTGTATTAATTGTGTTTAAGAATAAAGGTTTATCACCCGAGTTTTAAAAATAAAAAATAAATTTTTCTACTATCGACGAATTTAATTGGCGCCCAATGTGGGGCCGCGTTAAATAAAAAGTTCCAAAAATTATTTAATGAAAAATAAGTTAAATACAAACGAAGCTCGCGCGGCCAACAACTCAACATTTCTAGTGGAGAAATTAAAAAATCCACCAAACAACACAACAAAGTGACAGTCGTTAACAATAATTAAATGGAAATTAAAAAATGGAAATTAAATCAAAAAAAATACAAGAACACAAAATAAAGCAAAACCAGAAACGCACTAAACAAAAACAGTTAAACAAACCAGCTCTTACAACAACAACCACAAAATCACAACTCGCTGAAACAGGAAAAATTAAAGAAGGAAGGAAGGGCATTCTATCGCCAGTAATTTTTACTGAATCCAGGAAGGAAGATCAACCCATAACCTCACAGAAGGAAGACCCCATCGGGACTGTCTCGTGAGAAATTAACTTATAATAATAAAAAAAATTAAAGATTATAATCTAAGATCAGGGAATTTAAGACAAAATAATATAAGATTTAAACATTGACTAAAGTAAGATAGATTCGCGATTAAAAAAAAAATATCGAGAAACAATCTGGAAGATTTAATAAATAGCTTTGGTGAAATAAATTTAACAATGGCTACCGGAGGTTCAGCACCAAATTTTTCGGCAGGTAGTATAGCCACAGCAGGCGGCTTAGCAGTGGAATTAATAAATAGATTGATAATTGTTCAATTAAATGAAGAGAGCAGGAAAATAGAAGGTTTAGAAGGAAAGTTAGCCACAGAGGCAAACACTGTGGAGGATTATAAAATACAAATAATCGACCCAACTATAAAATGCGATACAACACTTGAAGTGGTAAAATCTTTACCAAAATTCACGGGGGAACCAACACAATATGTAGGTTGGAGAGAAGCCGCAGAAACTGTAATGAGTCTCTATAAAATTCAAAGTGAACAATATTTTATCGCCTTAACAATTTTACGAAATAATATTTTGGGAGCTGCCCATGATGCTCTTACCAATCATGGCACCGCTTTAAACTTTCGAGCAATATTATCTAGATTGGACTTTATATATAGCGATAAACGACCAATACTTATTCTCGAGTCAGAACTAAGTATCCTCAGGCAGGGACGAATTACAGTTACAGAATACTATTATGAAGTCAATAAAAAAATGACTCTACTAATAAACAAAACCATAATGACATACGGAAAGGACAGCGTAATTGCCAAAGAAACAAATAAAACAATAAGGAGCCATGCTTTACGAATTTTTATATCTGGGCTAAATGGATCTATCTCAGAAACTCTTTTCTCATTAAATCCACCAGATTTACCCAATGCTTTGGCAAAGGTCCAATAATTAGAATCAAACAATTTCCGTTCTCAATTTGCAAACAGGTTTAATGGATTTAAAAATGAAAATAAATAACAGGGAAACAACTTACGATTTGATCAAAAACGACAGAACAATAATATTAATAAAATGGGAAATAATTGGAGTAATAACTAGAATTATAATTGGCCACAAAAGGGAAATATTTGGCAAAACGATAATCATAATAACAATCAAAAGCTACAAGCCGTCGAGCCAATGGATGTTGATCCATCGATTCAACTCCAGAATAAACCTAGTTACAATCGGAAGCCAAATAATAATTGGCAGGCAAATAATAATCGAGGTAGATACAATAATAATTACTATCAAAATAATAATCGATCAAATTACTATCGCGCTAATCAAAATAAAGAGCAAACTCAAGCTCAGAAAAGGGAACCAGATGGAACAGTAAATCAGCCAGCTAATAAAGTAACCAGATTAAACAATATCAACGATGATCATTTTTTAGACCAGACCCCTACAGGGGAATGCCCTATTTAAATAGGACAGACCGAAAAACCAAGAAGCAGTTAAAGATTTTAATAGATACAGGAGCCACTGCTTGTTATATAAAAAAGGGAATTTTCGAAAATAAAAACGAGTTATCAATATACAAAAAGGTAACTACAGTTCATGGGTATTCAATTATTAGGTATTACCATATTATAAATATATTTGAACCAAGACAACTATTTTATGAAATCGAAGGATTAGAATCTGATCTGATAACTGGATTTAATTTATTAAGAAATATTGGAGCTATAATAAATATAGAAAAGGGAGTATTGGAATATAAAGGGAAAACAGAAAAGTTAAAATATTATGATAATGAGGAAAAAAATGAAATAAGTTTAATTAAAGAAAATAATATTCTTCCGTTAAAAGAATTTATTACAAAAAAATATTTTGATGAAAAAAATAGCGAAAACACAGATTCATTATTTGTGGAAAATAGTGAAAAAAGCTTGGGAATTCAAAATCCTGAGAGTGCCGACGACGTAAATACCGTCAATAAAAATATAAATATCTTGGGAATTCAAAATCCTGAGAGTGCCGACGAAGTAATTACCGTCAAAAATCGAATAAATAAAAATCGTTTGAAATGTAAAAATTTCAAGCCCGCCGTCGTTGAGTTGTCCGACAAACAACATATAAACAATATAGGTACTGATCAATTAGTTTTCTATATTGAAAAAGAGCATTCAAAGATAAATATGCAAATTCCTTTTAGAACAGACATAAAGGGGGAAATAAATCTTATTCACGACAGACCAATATACGGGAAGCAATATCCGTACGCTTTTTCTGTCACCAACTTCGTGAATAGCGAAATCAGTAGAATGTTAGCAGAAGAAATTATAAGGCCTAGTCGAAGTCCATATAATTCACCAGTTCTGGTAGTCCCAAAGAAAGGAGAAAATCAAGACGTAAGCCTAAATTGAGACTCGTCATTGACTATAAAAAATTAAATGAAAGTACCATGCCTGACAGGTACCCAATGCAAGACCCATCAGTAATTCTATCTAATTCGGGAAAAGCAAGATGTTTTTCAACAATAGATTTAGAATCAGGTTTTCATCAGATATTAATGAAAGAATCTGATGTAGAAAAAACATCCTTTTCAATAAATAATGAAAAGTACGAATTTTTAAGAATGCCATTCGGACTAACAAATGCACCAAGACTTTTTCAGAGAGCAATGGACGACATCCTAAGAGAACAAATAGGGAAAACATGTCATGTCTACATGGACGACATTATAATATTCTCAAACTCGATTGAACAACATTATAAAGACTTAAACAAAATTATAAATATATTATTTAAGGCAAACATGAAAATCTCTTTAGAAAAATCAAAGCTTTCTAAACGCGAAACCAGTTTTCTAGGATACATCGTATCTTATAACGTCATCAAGACAGACCCAGAAAAAATTTACACCATTATTAAATATCCGCTTCCAAAAAATATTCGGGAACTAAGAAGTTTCTTAGACCTTACGGGCTATTATAGAAAATTTGTTTTAAATTATGCCTCTATAGCCAAACCTCTAACAAAATATCTTGGAGGTCATAATGGCAAAATTTCAAAAAGAATGTCAACAAAAATGTTAATTCAGCTGGATGACCCAGCTATTAAAGCTTTTAACGAGCTGAAAGAAAATCACATTGCTCAAGTAGAATTAGTTCAACCGGAATATAATAAAAAATTTACCCTGATCACCGACGCCTCGGACGTCGTAATTGGTGCAGTATTATCTCAAGAAGGTAAACCAATTACTTTTATTTCAAAAACCTTGACTAAAACGGAACAAGATTATGCAACTAATAAGAAGGAACTTTTAGCCATAGTATGGGCTCTTAAAAATCTAAGAAACTACTTATACGGAGTGATTGGAATTGAAATCCAAACCGATCATCAACCATTATCTTTCGCAATCTCTGATAAAAATCCTAATGTTGAAATGAAACGCTGGTACTCCTTCATAGAAAGTTTCACTCCAAAAGTCATTTATAAGCCAGGTACAACTAATGTAGTTGCAGACGCCTTATCAAGAATTCAGATCAACAACTTAACTGACAGTAACGAATCGGTCTCAGATCAAAACACTCAGCATTCAGCAGAGAGTAGTTTTGAGAATGTTATACAAGAAACCCGTAAACCCTTAAACCAGTTTAAGCAACAATTGCTATTAGCAACGGGGAGGTATACAATACATGAGTCAATTAATATACTCGAAAATACCAGACATATAATAGAATTTGACACTCCCGAAAATTTGATATCAATCTTAAGAGAATAATATTCCTCCTAATTTAACGGTAGGTATTCATTGTACTTTAGAGGACTTTTATAGAATTCAAAAACCACTTAAAGATAATTTTGTGAATACATTTTTGTATACAAAAATATTTGTCCAAGATGTAGAAACTTCTGAGGACAGAGCACTTATAATCGAAGAAACACATTGCAGAGCACACAGGGGACTTGACGAAAATTATAAACAAATCAGTAGATTGTATTATTGGCCAAACTTACTTACAAAATTAAAAGTATACATAAAAAACTGTAAAATTTGCAATGAAAACAAATATAACAGACACCCAATTAAAATTCCAATTGGAGAAGCCCCAATCCCGAATAAAGAAGGCGAAAATTTACACATCGACATATATTACGCGCAAAGTCCTACTTTCATAACTTGTATTGACGCTTACTCAAAATTTTTAGTAGTAAAAGAAATCCAAAATAAATTAAATATCGAAAACAAAGTTTCGGCCCAGTTTAAATCTTTTGCACAAAGGTGCGGTTTAACTTTACATTACGCAGACCCGAGGCACAGTACCTCAAACGGACAAGTTGAAAGGGCACATTCTACATTAACAGAATTAGCTCGATGCATTAAAGAAGAATTTAATTTAACCGACTATTCCGAAATAGTAATAAGAGCCGCTGAAGAATATAATCAGAACATTCATTCTACAACGAACCAAAAACCTTTTGACGTACTATATAATAAAATAGAGCACGATAACATTCCTCAAATTTTAAAAAATACACAAGAGAAAATGTTAGAAACACATAATGAAAACAGAAAAGAAAAAGTATATCATGTAGGACAGGTAGTTTATGAAAAGAAAAACGGGGAAAGAAATAAACTTAAAACTAGATATAAAAAGCAAGTAGTTAAAGAAAATGTACCTAACAAAATAATAATCAACAATAGAAATAGAATTATTCACAAAGATAATATAAAATTCTAAAAATTTATGTTACTTTTTTTTTACCTTTTCCAGAAAATCTTTTATCAGGTGCTTATACTACACCTTATTTTATTAACAAAATCAGAAATAATTGACTATACAAGTCACGAGTATCTTTTATTCAAGGACAATAAAGACGTATAAATAAATATTAAAACATGAACAAAAACCAGTAATTATCGCTGTCTTAATGGACATCTCTGTTTTTAAAATCGCACTGCATAAAGAACTAGTAATAATTTATATAAAGTACCCAATAATAAAAAACAGATGCGAAATATATCACGCTAGAGCGATTTCCCAAATCGATGGGAAACTAGTATTAAGCAATCAAGTCGCAAAATGCGCAAATATGTTTTATGAAATGTCTAACTTTAAGAACGTACTTTTTAATAATTATTGCACTTTGAATAACGAAAAAACTTGTTTTACTCGCTTATTAAATGGCGAGAAAACCACTTGTAAAAAAATAAGAGAGAAAAATAAGAAAATAGACATCATACAAGATGGTGCCATTTTTATAAATGGTAACAATATTGTGAACAACTCCCATTTAAACGGTTCATTTTTGATAAAATTTAATGGTACAACCGAAATTAATAATATTTTATATACCAATTTGGAAAACAAAATTCTTAACTACTCAACTACGAACCATTTCAAAAATTATGAAATATCCGATTACATATTATCAAATAACACAGAACTTTCTTTAGATAATGTAAACATTTTAAATCCTTTCATTAAAATTAATAATACTAAAATATCACTTACCTTTATATTACTAATTTTAATCATTATATATTTGATTTTTGTAGTTATTATAAAATACAAAAATGCCATATTATTTGTAACCAAAAAACAACGGCCAGAACCAGAAAAACCTATTAAACCTTTGTTTAAGATTTTGCCTTTGCCATCTACTTCGAGGGCCGCGCTTGACCGTCCTGCTAAGATAAATTAATCAATCGTAAAGTAAACCCAAGCTTTCGTTCGAAGCCCAAACTTTTCCGTTCAAAGCCCACAGTATTGCATTCTAAGTTCAGAACATATTGCGTTCCGATTTTCAATCAAATTGCATCGGTCAGCATAATTTCATTTCACAACGAGATGCGACAGTTTCAGCATAAGCTTTTATTTTAAACGAAAATTAAAGTTCTGGGTGCTTAAGAAAAGGAAGGCTTCTGGCCGAGGTTCATTGGATAATTTTTTAGCGATCGGTTCACAATTTTTAAAAAGTGTCTTGTATTAATTGTGTTTAAGAATATAGGTTTATCATCCGAGTTTTAAAAATAAAAAATAAATTTTTTAATTCATCTATTATCGACGAATTTAATTTGCATGTATACATTACTTCATGTGAAAGTTGGTGAAACAGTTTCTTTTGTCGTTGTAGCATAAAAAATACATTGCATTTCTCACAAAAGGTGTATGAGCGGAAAGAACAATCGTTTTTGCAGAGTTGCCTTTGCTTTTTCCAGGTGGGAAAATGCCCAATGGAATTTCCTGGTGCTTTCGTCTTTTGCTGGTAGTAGGAGTACCTTCCCTACTTGTACACGGGGATGAAGTTAGAGTCATCGCAGGTCGTCCGCGCTTCTTTACTTTTCCTGCCTTGCACAGGTGCTCAGCTATTAAAAGCTTGAAATCGAAGAGTGGCATATATTGATCTGACTTACGACGCCATAGAATCCATGAATTCACTACGCACATATCAATCATGTGAGAAAATATTTTCTTATACCACTTTCTTGAGCGCAATTGAATTCTATAAAGTCCAAGTAAAGAATCCAGTAAGTCAACGCCACCCATATAATTATTGTAAGCATCAACTGCCTTAGGAGAGATGATTTCTACATACTTTAACATTATTGCTTCCCACGTAACTAGAAAGAATGTTGACTACTTTATTGTCAAACCAAGAGACGAGGCCAAGCTGAACTCCATCGATAACAGCTACTTTTTCGACCATGCTTCCACGTCCTTGGCTTTTCAACTCTTTTTCAGTTGGCATCTTTGAATTGGGTACTCGATTAATTCTTACCGTACCTTAAGCTAATATACCATTTTTCATAAGGTAGACTTCAAGATTAGGACTATTGAACCAATTGTCGAAAAATAATTTGTAGTTTTTTCCTTTTGGTACGGTTGCCGATAGCCTAGATACAACATTTCCGCTTACTCCCAATTTAGGCGCTCCCTCCGGATATGTATCACTTTGGGCTCCCGCACAAATATCAAAGTCGTAGCTAAAACCTGATACTCCACTCAAGACAAAATTTTTGAAGCCCCATTTGTGAGGTTTTGCCGGATTATATTGTTTTAAACATTTCGGAGATTTCATAAACATTACACTTTAAACGTTTTCGTAGAGAAAACTGCTAAATCAATTTTTGGGGCATTCTCTGCACACAACCTTTCTCATCAACAAGTAAGCACTGAACGTGAGCGGACCAAAAAAGAAAGAGGCGGCAGCCGACGAGCCCACCTTACACTTATTCCATCATGAATGTAGCAAGTTGAGGCTGAGAAGTTTTATGCTCAGTTGCCTTTCTCTTCTCCGCCGGTACGAAACGATCGCATGAAGTGCAGATGCAGTGAAAAAGTTTGCTCATTAAAAGGGTTAGGTCTTCCTGGACAGCAAGCTTTTATATGGACAACCAACTGCTTTAGCTGAACCTTTTCAGAGAGCTATTGGAAACGCATGGTGACTACTAGAAAGAGGGCGTGCTGGGCACTCACAAAGAGTAGCCTCAGTTCCCTTTAGATTGCAAGTAGACTTCTCCCTAAGGCCATTAGGCGCACACATGATATTGATATTGTTTGGCTAAACGTTCGTTCTGTTGAGTGGTTCTTTGTTTATATGTATATTCCCTCCATTTCCACATGTTCCAACGGGCCAATGACATCGACGTGTCAGCAATGTGCCAAATCCCTGCAAGCATTTTTTATCGCGAAACACTATTTAGAGACTTCTAGAAGTTAAATCGATCGTCCGCGATATCGCATTCGGAACTCGAAAGTGACTTCCGTTGTGGAAAAATGAGGCACTTCCACCACACTTCTCGGAAGATCTCGGAAGATTTTGTTAAATGTGTTCCATCGTTTTCCTATCTTCCAGAAGTGACTTATAACCCCTTCTCATCCGTTCGAAACGGTTGGAACTTTTTACAATTGTGAAACTCCGATTCCCACAGAGCACATCCACCATCTAAAATCCGATAACAGCTGATCTGGCGAATCGAACCAAGCCCGTTGCTTCTGGGCCTTCCATTTTCGATTGTTCCCTGGCATCACTGTTCACTTTTTCGTAGTGAATGTTTTAATTTCCTCTGTCAAGAAGAAGAGCCTAGAGTTATACCAAACAAACATCGCGTTACTATCGCATAAAAGAGTCCGTCAAATTTGGATGGGGAACTAAGTGGGAAATTTTCGGAACAGCAAAACCTTATAAACCATCGTTTCAACGGATGGTAGATGGTGGATGCATCTCTTAACGATAAGTGTATATTTTGTTTTTGTAAAATGTGTTGATCTTCCATAAGACGATACTTTTTGACGTCAGGCGATTGTTTCCCCGTCCAATTGCTCGCAGGGGTTCGACATCGGCCTAGCCGACGCTCTCATTCAAAAATTGTGTTTAAACCGACTCTCCCTCTCTTGATAATTTCATAAATAATTTCGGTTTGTGAACCAGTCGGGATTTTCGATAAATGTGAAAAGCCTATTCCCACTGACAACTATCGATTGCGTCCCTTTGCTCTGCCTTGTAGAGGTGCAGATACTTTGATGTAAAACATGTTTTTTATAGAAATGTAATGTTTTATATAATGTAATGTAGGGGAATTTATGTTACTAATTTCAAATAAAATAAAATTTAAAGGAATTCCTATTAGCTAGGCACACAGCATACCTGTCAGCGCCATCTGGCGGCTGGTAGCAGTACTAGAGACCACAGACGGCACAGACCACATACCTAGAATCTATCCACCATTATCCATAAACTTATACATAAACTAATACAGCATCGCGCGTTTTTCACCAATTGCATACCCTGTATTTGCAAACTTATTAATTAAACATTATAATTAATTTAGTAGGAAAAATGTAGGAAATTACAAACCTATTGCGTTTTTTCGTTCAAAATTAAACATCAAAATTAAACATCGATGTTTTGGAAAATTAGAAAAACATCGATGCATCGATATTTCCATCGATATTTCTGCAACTCTAATATCAAAACCGACGACTATATTTAACTACTAACGAGATAGTTCCATTCAGTTTGTACTTGATTCGGTGCGGCGCGAAGTGTCCTTTTTACCTGCTTATATCTTTGTAGATATCTTATGATAAACACAACGGTAAACCACCCCCTTGCTTGATGCACACAACGTTATTGTATATTTTGGGCTGCTGTCAGCTTATCGGTCAGGCAAAAACAGGAAAACTAGATCAGTTCCCAAATAGTAATTTCTTTAAATGACTGGAAATTTACGAATTTATTGATTTATTATTACCAATATCATTTCGTTCAACCTTTTCACAATTTTGTCTAATTTCACAACAAAAAGGGTGCGAGCGAGACAGCTGGGTAGTGACTCGCTCTTGATTTCACCATTTATAACAATACCCGTTACTCGTAGAATACTTTCGTCGGAAAGTGAGTAACAGGTAGAATAAGGGTTTCCGATCCCATAAAATACGTATATTCTTTATCAGGATCACTAGCCGAGTTGATCTAGCCAGGCCATCTGTCCGTATGAACGCTGAGATTTCGGGAACTATGTATAAGAGCTAGAATGTTGGAATTAAGCATGCAAGTTCTTGGGCTTCCTGCGCAGCGCAAGTCAGCAGTGTGCCCCGCCCACTCTAACGCCCATAATGCTAGAACCCTTCAATCAAACAATAATCGAATATTGTATGTCCAGTATCGGATGATGTCTATTATTGGACTATTTACAAAAACGATGTAATCATCGACCTTTTGAGTAACTAATTTTTAACAAAATCTATGCTAGTACTTGATAGCCAATTTTCTTTTGCCAAAAAAATTGCTAAAATATCTGGAAAACATATGTAGAATTAACATCATACTCGTTCAACAGCGAAAAAGGAACTATAATGTTCTTTGAGAAGGATAATATTGTCTTTGATAAAGATGAAAACGAGACGGGTATTCTTGACTTTGATATTTATGAAAATGAGCGCCAGGGCAAGAGGTATCCATATCCCTTCTTTCTGGAAGACAAGTGGAATAGCACTGATGATGACTTCTCGACGTCCTGCCCAGCACCCACACATATTACCCATCAGGTAAGTGTTTGTAACACTCAAAATAGTGATACACATTTACACAAAAAGAGTCAGTAAGTAATCGCCTTTTTTCCTCCTATTAACAGCCAGAGGGCGCCCACCCCAGAACTACCACCACACAAGCCACCTCTGCCGAAGACCTTGCAACCCCGATCTGCGCCGAGCCCATCATCTGCGATAGTAGTAGTGGAGACGGGGACGACGTCGTGGCCATCCAAAACCCTATAATCTCCAAGCTCAAGGAATCTGCTTCGGCCTCCATAGCTCATACGCATTCTCGCAAGCGCAGACGACTGGAACGTCATTCGACTAATGCTCCAAGTACCCCGGAAATCATTAAGCAATTCTTGCCTTTTGAGATGGTAAGCTATTGTTTAAAATATATTGTTCTGTTTTTTTTCGATTTACTTATAGTGTTTGTAAAATATCGCTCAATGACTAGAAGATTGTCTTTTCGAGTTATTGATTTAAAAATGTTATCTTTAAAACAAAGATCTTTAGAAATTGTAAATTGTAGAAATCATCACCACCCGACTCAGACTTGGCCACATATTCCTAACTAACGCTTACTACCTTGACATAACAAAAACATACCTATGCCCATTGTGTAAATAAAAATAGGCAGGTAGATATTCGACACATTATTTACCTGGCCCGCTCTTTCCATGCAAAGACCCTTATTCCTCCAAAGCCCTAACCCCATCAAATTAATAGCAAACCCCACAAATTCAAACTTGCAAAATATCCTAAAGTTCCTAAAATAATAAATTTTGTAAATACATAAATATTATATGTAGTTATATTAATTAATATTATAGTAATCCCACAAGCCAACTCAAACCCCAATCCGAAGGCCTTAGCTGCTATGGCTCTGAATACCGCCGTTAGCTCTTAGTTTAACACTAATTGCTAGCTTTAGATAAATAAATACATAAATAAGCATTGTACCCTTTTCTCACTGATAGAGAAATTGGCTCATAAAGTATTTAAACTGTCGACAAGCTCGTCTACCGTATCCCCAGCTTACTTTATTCCGTTTCCAATTTACAGTTCAGGGCTGCCTGCACAAGTAGCGACACCAACCAAATAGAACTCGAAGAGGATAGAAGCGTCATCTCTTCAGTCTCAGCTTCAACCACATGCGTCACCACCAAGGAGTCCCGGAACGCCGAGGTGTCCAGTGATGCCGATCCCAGCTTTGGGGAAATAGAATTCCTAAATATAGACCAGGTCAGTTATTGTTAAACTCGTACTAATTATTTCATTCAGAAATGAACCCTTAACGCAGCTGAATGGGTTCTCCACCTGATTCCCAGTAATATTAAAAATCTCTCCTCTCCTTAATGTGCAGTTCGTGAACACAGACACAAGTAATAGCACCTCCAACACCTCCATCATCGAAGCGAAAAATGCAGACATTGTAGAGGAAGATAGTAGTGCCGAAGAGGAGAACAGAACCGAATCAGCCAGCTCCTACTGTGGGGAGTCCAACAGCGAGACAAGATTCAGCGATCTCCTCTCTGGTCACGCCTCGCCCGTTCACCCTGTGGCTAGTACCTCGCAGATTATCTCCTCGCATGCCGGTGAAAATAATGTCACTCGGAAACGAGGACGCCCTGCCAAGGACCATGCCGACGGACCCGATCCCAAACGTATGTTGCGCATGAATAAAAGGCAAAGGAAGGCCTACGAGGACAGGATCAAAAACAACGAGGCAAGCCGCCTCTCGCGTCGAAAAAAGAAGAAAAGCGAGGAGGAGGAGAAAAAAACCGAGGAGGACCTGGCGGCCGAGAATCTGCGACTCCGTGAGTTGGCCGATAAAGTGGCGTGCCAGGAACGCAAGCTCAAGAAGTTCCTGTCGGATACTTTAAGACGGGCTCCCGTTTAATAGCCGCAAGAATAATGATTTTTAAATCAGGAAGAAACTAAACTCTTTGTCAAGAAAAAGCTAGAAGTATGCATTGTGATTCTCCTAGCCCTAGATTGCTTTAATGTTCAAAATAATTAGTTCGCCCCGTATTTTTAGAGTACTACTTTATATGTAGAATTATTGTTTATTTCATAAATTGTCATTAGAATAAAAATAAGAATTTCTATTATAATTTATATAATCAGATTCTAGACCAAAATAGATTTTTATATTTTTTATTAACACAGAAATACGGATTGTAAACTATAAAATAAATTTGTAGTTGTCATGTCCCTACTCCATTGAAATCGAATCCTTTTAGTTTGTAAACAGACGGTAGAAAGTACAATCAGGGTAATCATTGTATCAGTTTGAAATGCGCGCCAATGCCAGTGCTGTATTACGCCTATTAGTCGCAAGCGATACTTCCATACGTGAAAAATCATCGGCATTTCGATATTACGCAGTGTTGTTATAATAGGGGCTTTTTAGTCTAGATATTAGGGGGTATATCATGGCTTTAACATTAATATTAATGCAAGATTAGTGTATTTAATGAGAAAATATATCTAAACGCTTGAAATTTTTTTAAAATTGATTTGAGTTTATGGGAATGTGGGATTTTTTAGTAGAAGTCGAGACTGTTTTACAGTCTGGTAACACTGGGCTTATGTTTTTTTCAGGCGAGCGGTTCGGACGTATCTCCGTTGTCCGCTGTGGTTTTTTAACGGCCGCGGAAGTGCATTCCTAGTTGTTCTCGCAAATTCTTTGTGTTGCCTCCGTTCCACAAAAAGGGTGTAAAAAGTGTGTCGGCAGAATAAGGGGAAATGTTGAAACGCCATTAACTCCTATTTATTTCGCTATTTCCCCAATTGTGTCCGTGCTTGTGTGTAGGCTAAGTGCAAGTGTGCGAAACTGCAATGAGAAACCATATCGAGTTTTCTTGATTTCCCAACCAGCAGAGGAAAAACCGTGCAACTGCAACCAAAAGTGCAGCAGCACTTGTATGGATAAACGGACCTACCTGTCTAATAGGTGAGTTTCCAACCAGATCGACGAGTCGAAAACCGGCACTCCAATTGGAGAACGAGAATAGGGCATTGGTACACCAGCACTTAAGTTGGAATTAAAAGCAGAAATTCAAGCCAGACACACGCATACCAGCACACTTACGCCCACACCCTTGGATCTGTGTACCTACACGGGTCTCCAGCTGAGTTGTTGCTGCCTTCACAGCTGTATTTTGTTCTGATAACGGCACCAGTAGTATGGAGATGACAGCTGTCCCTGTCTCCCCACTCGTTCTATCCCCTTCTGACGCACTACTGTTATGTCAGGGCAAGCGAGCAGAGACTTTGTTATTGTTTTGGGGTGCGAAGGACCACCCATAGTATCCGTGCAGTAGTACTACGCAGTTCATAATGCCCCTATATGGACAGTAAAATTCCAATATCCCTCATATTCAAGAGTCGCTACTTTTAGTTTGACAAGCAAACGAGGAAATCGGACAATATCTATTGAATTCCAACTTATCCACATGTGTTCTTCCCAACAAAATGTAAATCTACTCACTAGCCCGCTCCCTGGAACACAAAATATGTATGGTAAAAATTTGGAAATTAACGATGTGCAGCGTCCAACCAAGAATTCGGCGTTAATCAATACATACAATATTTTGATTGGTCAATTCTAAACCACCCAAATTTGAAAAAGCTTATTCGTGTAAGACTTTATTTTGATATTTGCGGGCCAGCTGCCTTATAGCACTGACTAATGCCCTCTCACATGTCAGAGGGAGCCTCTCCCATGATGCTTAATATTTTGTGTAGCGTACCTCTGCTATTTTGATTGTGGCTAACATGTACCGTCGAAAAGGTCAGACGTGCGATGATCTATGGCTGCGGTAAAGCGGGTCAAGACTAGAAAATGTCACAAATGGTGAAACCAGGATGGGATTGGTGACGTTATGAAAATGATACTGCCAACATAATAGTTCTTAACCCAATGAAATAAGTCAATTTCCCAATATATTTCTTATTTATCTGGCCAGTTTTGCTATCAGCTTGTTCGTTTAAATGTAGTTCACATTTCCGCTCTGAGCTTGATTTTTTCTTCTTCGTATAAATTTTCTAAAGTCGACGAATAATTACTGCTGTCATGCGCTCTCATATTAAAGCGAGTCAGCGAAATGTTAGGTTATCTGAACCTAATGTTAAGCACCTAATATGTTAAAAATATCGATTAGGCACCAAAAGTTCTGAAATAAAATGTCGATCAATAATTAAACAGCTTTTAAACTTTTATAAGAGCTTCCCGCATTTAGGGTATATGTCAGCAACATAAAAGGTTTTGGATAGTATAGTGTGTAATGCTGACGAAGCATTCGGTAACTCCTGCAGTGCAATGTTACCAAAACTTTATGTCATAATTTTTATCAATCTTATATGTATGTTCTCCAGCTTTGTACAACTTGTCATACAGACCCACACAACTTCCGAGATAAAACAGCCTATACATAGGGTACTAAAGCACTCGATTGTTATTGTTTGAGTTACTGATAAGCGAGTACAGATTAAATAGCACAAACGAATCGTTCTTTCTCGAAGTAAGTAAAATATAAAAATCGGTACACTTTGCAAAATGTGAATTACTTTGTCAATGCTATCTTTTTAATTGTTATGTTCGTTTAGCACATTCTGAATTCCATTTTATCCCAACAGATCGCTTGCATGTTCGCTAATTAGCAGTATCTAAATAATTGGCTGTAATTATCAATGAAAAACCAAAATGGCAGTTTGTAGTGTGCAATTTTACAAACATTTGCTATCCAATTCGAGTCTGATACGATATTTGTACAATTTGTGTGGTGTTTCATTAAAGTAACTCCTCTGGGAAATGGTTTTAATCGTCGTTCATAAATATAAAATTACCTGGTTCCGTTTGTAGAGACGTTCGTTAGTATTATACGTATTTATTTAATTAACTTTGCGTTATATATAGAAACCCATTTCCTGAGGGGGACGGAGACTCCTCGTGTGTTGTTCCCCGATGGGTGCCACTTGTGTTCAGATCATTGCTTTTATGATTGATTTGTTCGCACAAGTGGGAGATGAATAAATATTTATTTTATAAGTATTTTGGTTGATTGTTGTGGTTTTTTATTTATAAACATGTTCAATTTTTAATGAGTACGTAATATTAAAAGTTAATTACTTCTTGGCACCAAAGAGAGAAATGAGTAGAGCATCCTATAAATGGGTTGTGCAATTACCTGTACTGTGAACGGGTGCCAAATCTAATGATCTAAATATAAAATCTTTTAGAATACATAATTTCAAATTTGAAAAGTTCACCAATTACGTTCTTAACCAGACCTTCCACCTCTAATAACTTATTTTCAACAAATGAAGGTAAACAGTCGGCCAAAACAATTAAACCAAAATTCGAATAATAATGTTTATAATGGATTACCTTTATTGCTGACTGCAAAAATGCTCAATGTCAAAGTGCTAATATATAATATTAAAGCTTGGCATTTACTACTTGCTACTTTTGTACCTACTTAAAAGCAAAGGAAAGAAACACTTAATCTTAATATTTACCTCGCCATTAGCAGAACTTAAGGGGTTCTCCTTCGCCAATGTCAAGATATAAAGCCAGGAAATGCGACTTAAACAAGCTTGCAGTTCAGGTGCAAATGTGGACAAGGTCCGAGGTTGTTTTAATGATATGCTCCAACCAGCAGCCGGTTATTGCAGTGCGGTCAAGACTACTCGACCGATTCAAGGCGAAGGTCACCGGCTGCACGCAACTCGAGCGGGGAGAACTCGTTTTCCAAGCGGTTCGAAATTCGACCCCAGCTTCCCCCGTCCGCTTTTTAAGTCTCCGAGTCTGGGGCGATTCTAAAACAGATTTTTGCGGGCTTAGGTGCCGTCGTTCGTCGTAACCTTGAGGCGTTTGGTTGCTCATATGCCGAGTGGGACGGGCTTTGTTGAAGCGAGTTCTGCTTTCTGGCATTCAAATGTGTGCGACTCTCTAATTAGCAACAAAAAATTTGCTTTGTTAGTCAGCTAACTAAACCCTGAACACTTCTCTATTTATATGCATATTTTTCTGGCAAATACATATGCGGTATATGGTTCGAGTGTGAAATACGGCGATCCATTGTTAGCGGTATAGTTTAAAGAACTTATGTACCTACTAAATGTAGGAGAACATGTTTGTTCTCTTTCTCTTTGGCCAATTACCAAGCAATTGTTTATAGCTAGTGAATGAGCAACCATTAAGTTTACGATCCGAACATGAATTGAATACGGAACCTGTTTGGTTCAGGTTAAGTGAACTATGATTCAGACTGCAACTTAAAAGTGGTTCAAGAAGTATTTTAATGGTTTTTACTGCTGCTATCTTTTTACTGATCTTTGTCTTACATATTCATTTTGAATGTCTTTTCCCTATCGACCCTTAAAACTGCAATAAAGAGTTCATTCAACTCATTTTGGCTGGCTCTTACTGCATTGTATTTTTGGTCTTCCCATTTCATTGAGTGGCAAACAATATAAACCAGTTTCTTTTTACATTTGCACAGTTTTCCTGGTTTTTCAGTTCGGTGAGCTATGAACACGAATCGAGGAATTTATGTACAATGTACATTGTACATACATACAAGCTATAACTCTTACGAAAAACTTCTGAGAATGTGCAATTTTTTGTGACCGATAAGCTGGTAACAAAGGGAAACTGAATTGACAATTTGGACAATGAAATCAGAAATAATGGTTTATTGCAAACTCGTGCCCTGCTTTTATTAGCATGTGCCATAATAATTAAAATGTATGGGAGCTATACACATACATTTTTTGATCCATTAAAACTTTTTAAAAATAATCAACCTTTAAAATATAAGTTAAATTTGTTTATGACACAATAATTATATTCACGATAAGCTTATCGTAATTACTGACAAATAAAATCCATTGCGATTATTTTTTTCAATAAAATGAATCATAAGCATTACAGACTTCTAGACTAGGTTTTCAAAATGTTTTTTTGAAAGTGTATTATACTCATAATATACTAATGTCCTAAATAATTATTCATCATTTTCAACTTTACTTGGAAACTCCTAATATTGTGCCATCGTTTACAGGTTACTTTGCGATCAATGAACCATAAACCTATGTAATCACTATTAGAAAATACTTTACGTCTCCGACTTTTCAGA